GGAAGGCCCATCAACGGTGAGTTCAGATCAGGAAGTAGGTCATGCCTCGCAGGCTGTCAGTTTGTCGCAGCCCCAGCACCGTGTTGGAAAAGCCCTCTCTCCGCATCCCCTATAGCAGCGGTACTAAAGGACTGTGGATAACGTCCCTCCGTCAGCACGGAGTCCACAGCTCTTTCTCTTCTCCAGAGGATTAGCAGAGACAAGCGGTGTGGGACGGTGTTCTGAGACAGAAGCCTTATGGTGGGAAATTTGGTTCTCCACAGATGGGTCGGTCGGGATTTTCGCCTTGAGTTCAGTCCCAGAGTGATGCTGTTAGCCTGTCTTCCAGCGCCCGATGGCGCCAGGATACAGCGCCGCATCGTCGAGTCCGCCCACCAGGTGGGCAGACATTGCAGTCCTGAGCAGAAGCCCGCGGGTCCTCACAGAGGTGGCCACAGCGGTAGGGGCCTGAGGGCCGGAGCCCTGAGCTGAGGGCCGGGGTCCTGAGGGCCGGGGTCCCTGAGGGCCGGGGTTCCTGAGGGCCGGGGTCCCTGAGAGCCGGGGTCCCTGAGGGCCGGAGCCCTGAGCTGAGGGCCGGGGTCCCTGAGGGCCGGGGTCCCTGAGCTGAGAGCCGGGTTCCTGAGGCCGGGGATCCTGAGGGTCCGGGGTCCTGAGGGCCCTGAACTGAGAGCCGGGTTCCTGAGGGCCGGGGTCCCCTGAGCTGAGGACCGGGGTCCCTGAGGGCCGGGGTCCCTGAGGGCTGGGGTTCCTGAGGGCCGGGGTCCTGAGGGCTGGGGTCCCTGAGGGCCGGGGTTCCTGAGCTGAGAGCCGGGTTCCTGAGGGCCGGGGTCCCTGAGGGCAGGGGTCCCTGAGGGCCGGGGTTCCTGAGGGCCGGGGTTCCTGAGGGCCCTGAGCTGAGGGCTGGGGTCCCTGAGGGCCGGGGTCCCTGAGCTGAGGGCGGGGGTTCCTGAGGGCCGGGGTCCCTGAGCTGAGGGCCGGGGTCCCTGAGCTGAGGGCGGGGGTTCCTGAGGGCCGGGGTCCCTGAGCTGAGGGCTGGGGTCCCTGAGCTGAGGGCGGGGGTTCCTGAGGGCCGGGGTCCCTGAGGGCCGGGGTCCCTGAGCTGAGGGCCGGGGTCCCTGAGGGCCGGGGTCCCTGAGGGCTGGGGTCCCTGAGCTGAGGGCCGGGGTCCCTGAGGGCCGGGGTCCCTGAGGGCTGGGGTTCCTGAGGGCCGGGGTCCCTGAGGGCTGGGGTCCCTGAGGGCCGGGGTTCCTGAGCTGAGAGCCAGGTTCCTGAGGGCCGGGGTCCCTGAGGGCAGGGGTCCCTGAGGGCCGGGGTTCCTGAGGGCCGGGGTTCCTGAGGGCCCTGAGCTGAGGGCTGGGGTCCCTGAGGGCCGGGGTCCCTGAGGGCTGGGGTCCCTGAGCTGAGGGCGGGGGTTCCTGAGGGCCGGGGTCCCTGAGGGCTGGGGTCCCTGAGCTGAGGGCGGGGGTTCCTGAGGGCTGGGGTCCCTGAGCTGAGGGCTGGGGTCCCTGAGCTGAGGGCGGGGGTTCCTGAGGGCCGGGGTCCCTGAGGGCCGGGGTCCCTGAGCTGAGGGCCGGGGTCCCTGAGGGCCGGGGTCCCTGAGGGCTGGGGTCCCTGAGCTGAGGGCCGGGGTCCCTGAGGGCCGGGGTCCTGAGCTGAGGGCCGGGGTCCCTGAGGGCCGGGGCCGTGGTAACAAGAGAGACAGCGGTGTGGACGGAAGATGGCGTTCATCTCCACAACACCAAGCGTAGGAAGGACCATGTTTTCTCAGTTCATTTTAGGCACTTGTGACTAAGCTGGTCTGGAAATGTTTTCCTTAAAAGCTGTACAGGCCGGCGCCGCGGCTCACTAGGCTAATCCTCCGCCTTGCGGCGCCGGCACACAGGGTTCTAGTCCCGGTCGGGTAGCCGGATTCTGTCCTGGTTGCCCCTCTTCCAGGCCAGCTCTCTGCTGTGGCCCGGGAGTGCAGTGGAGGATGGCCCAGGTGCTTGGGCCCTGCACCCCATGGGAGACCAGGAGAAGCACCTGGCTCCTGCCATCGGATCAGCGCAGTGCGCTGGCTGCAGCGCACTGGCTGCTGGCTGCAGCGCACTGGCCGCGGCGCGCTGGCTGCGGCGGCCATTGGAAAAAAAAAAAAAAGCTGTACAGAGCAGCTTACAAGTTGCTGCCTTTCTTTATAATTTTTTTTAAAGCCAATAGTGCCAAAGCTTTCCCTCATTTACAATGTTAATGAGCCTTCACCTCAGGGTTTTAGGAAAAAGAGCATCACAGTTGCCAGCCACTTAGACAGTTTCAGAGGGTGAATTATATAGATCGTTTGTATGATAAAGCAAATGTATTATTATTTTGTATTGCAGTAAGTTTCTTGTTGGTGAGCTAGATTTTGGTGTGTCTGAGAGAAAATATAAAAGTTGATAGTCTGAAATGGCTATCAGTATTTTGGTAATTAGGAAACATAACTTTTCAGTGATTCATTTTATTAATAATTGAAATAGCTTAATGGTTAACTATGGGGATAAATCATATTGCTTACCTTTGAGAATTTAAATATAAATTCTGTGACATGCTCTTTTAGTTAAATGCTAATTGAACATGTAAGTGTAAATCTACACGTGGTACTTCATCTGAAAGCTTTGAAATATATTCAGTAAATCATATTTGTTGCATGGCTGAAGTCACTCAGGAAGTTAAGTATATTGTATATTTTTTATAGTTTTTGAAGTTTTTATTTCATCCTATTTCTTTTTTTATTTTTTATTTAGTAAGTATAAATTTTCAAAGTACAGTTAACGGATTACAATGGCTCCCCGCCCCCATAATTTCCCTCCCACTCACACCCCTCCCATCTCCTGCTCCCTCTCCCATTCCATTCACATCAGGATTCATTTTCAATTATCTTTATATACAGAAGATCAATTCAGTATATATTAAGTAAAGATTTCATCAGTTTGCACTCACACAGAAACACAAAGTGTAAAATACTGTTTCAGTACTAGTTATAGCATTACTTCACATTGGACAACACTCTAAGGACAGATCCTACATGAGAAGTAAGTACACAGTGACTCCTGTTATTGACTTAACAATTTGACACTCTTGTTTATGGCATCAGTAATCTCCCTAGGCTCTAGTCATGAGTTGCCAAGGCTATGGAAGCCTTTTGAGTTCGCCAACTTCGATCTCATTCCGACAGGGTCATAGTCAAAGTGGAAGTTCTCTCCTCCCTTCAGAGGAAGGTATCTCCTTCTTTGATGATGATCCCATTCTTTCCACTGGGATCTCACTCGCTGAGATTTTCCATTTAGGTCTTCCTTTTTTTTCTTTTTTTTTCTTTTTTTTTTTTTTTTCCCCAGGGTGTCTTGGCTTTCCATGCCTAAAATACTCTCATGGGCTCTTCAGCCAGATCTGAATGCCTTAAGGGCTGATTCTGAGGCCAGATTGCTATTTAGGACATCTTCCATTCTATGAGTCTACTGTGCATCCCGCTTCCCATGATGGATTGTTCTTTCCCTTTTTGATTCTATCAGCTAGTATTAGCAGACACTAGTCTTGTTTGTGTGATCCCTTTGACTCTTAGACCTATCAGTGTGATCAATTGTGAACAGAAATTGATCACTGGGACTAGTGAGATGGCATTGGTACATGCCACCTTGATGGGATTGTATTGGGATCCCCTGGCATGATTCTAACTCCAGCATTTGGGGCAAGTCCGATTGAGCATGTCCCAAATTGTACATCTCCTCCCTCTCTTATTCCCACTCTTATATTTAACAGGGATCACTTTTCAGTTAAAATTTAAACACCTAAGAATAATTGTGTGTTAATCACAGAGATCAGCTCTTGTCCTGACTGTTGATGTACAATGTAATACTTTATCCATTTTAGTATTTTCTCTTTGTTTTGTTCTAGTACTATTGGTTGAACTCTGTGAACTCTATATTGTATATTTTTATATTAGAAATTACAGTGTTAAAATGGTCCGTTTTTTTCTGGAAGAAAAACATGGCAATGCATAATCAGATAAAATAATATGTTGTATAACTGAGAGAATACTTGTTATTGAAAACATCCATGAAGAGTTCTGCCTCATATCTCTAGAAAAAAAAATTGGGACACTTAAAAAAATAAAAAGAAAGAAATCATTTAATTTGCAACAAAATGGATGCAATTGGAAACCATTATATTTAATGAAATAAGTCAGTCCCAGAAAGATCAGGGAGAACTGTGGTGACTAATAGAGTATCTAAAAGTTAATCTATAGAAGTGAAATTGACTCTTTGAGATGCCCTGACTTTGAATAGTCCTTGTTTTTTTTTTTTTTTCATTATATTTGTTGAACTCTATTTAGCGTAGGGTTAATCTTACATGTATAAAATTAATCAAAACAGATCTTAGTTAAAAACAAGAATGGGAATAGGAGAGAGAAGAGGAAAAAGGATGGGAATGTGTGTGGGAGGGAGTGTAGGGTTGGTAGAATCACTGTGTTCCTAAATTTATATATATGAGATGTATGAAGTTTGTATACCTTAAATAAAAGATTTCTGGGGGGGAAACAGTTTAAAAAGTGGAATAATTAAAAAGAAGTTCACATTTTCAGAGTATCCAGGATGAGCATACAAGGACACATTTTGTTATGGAGATTGTAGGGTTTGCTTTTTCTTGAACATCGGAAAGAATTTAAATGCTTTCTGATTTGAAATTTTTAAAATATTGTTTGGCAAGGTCTCATGGATCAAAATATAGTTGTCGTTTCATTGCAGAATTGTTTATAAAAATTCATTCCTTGAAGAAATGTGGATCCTTTTTAATGATTAACATTTGTACTATGTTGCTTTTCAATGTATTAAAAGCATTTTTAAAAAAGAATTATGACCCTTAGCACTGTTGTACAGAAGGAATTCAGTGAAAATGCCAGTTAAAGTGTAGCTAGATTATTTCCTGACATTTGCAGATTAATTTGCAAACTAATGATCCATTGTCATGGTCTTGTGTTCTGCCCACAGAGGACAAAGTGTGGACCATCGTGTCTCATGACTTGCAGATGCAGACAACTGTGGTAGGCTACAACCCAGAAAAGTACTCAGTGACACAACTCATCTACAGTGCCTCCATGGATCAGATCAGCGCCATCACCAGCAGTGCCGAGTACTGTGAGCAGTATGTCTCCTACTTCTGCAAGATGTCGAGATTGTTGAACACCCCAGGTAGGCTGAGAATGGAATGTTACTTTTAATTACTTTCTCAGCTGGTGCTTGGAATTGCCTAAACAATCCAACAGGTGTGGTTTATTAGCTTGTAGTCCAGTCTTCAATGTGCAGGCAGCTGTAAATAACTAAAATATAATCACTGGGCTGTTTTCTGTGAAATGAAGCTAAGAATGTATGTTTTATTTTAAAACATCACTTATTTTAAGTGTATAGGGTTTTGGAAGAACTTATATGCATATATGTGTGTGCTTAATGATCACTAGTTGCTTTGGGCACATTTATTACAGCTCCTTGTAAACTTTCAAGTATTTCCCTTTGAGTTCTTCAGTTGTCTTCAATGTAGTGTATGCTGTCTATAGGTAAGTAGCATATGGAATAGCAACAGAATTTAGAGCTGTTTGTTGCTCACAGTCATTTAACAGCATCTATTTGCCAAAAAGAGCACAGCCTTGAATCCAGTCCTGGATTTTTGTTCATGATGGCCTAGTTTTTGCAGTGCTTCAGAATATGCATGCATGTGTGTACACAATGCCCATACAATATCATATTAGAAGTGTAGAGAATGGATAGGTTCTAAAGAATTCACTGGTATAGCTTTTTTTTTTTTCTTCCAAGAAACACCTATATGGCTGGTTATTCTTAATAGTACATTCAAGATGTTGACTGAAAACTACACCCCTGGGTCTATCATCCAGCATGTGGTTTGCATCCAAGAAACAAGTGTTTATAATTTCCAGTCTGTCATTTCCCATGTTTGTGGCTTTGGGGTAGTTAACTGAATTCTTTTTTCCTGATTTATCTTACTTGACAAACAAAAGTGTGCCTGTATATATATGTGTGTGTAGTTACATAGCGTACAAGTATTGAAATATGTGTACATTATGGCTAAATCAAGATACTTATTTTCCATAGTGGGATCACATTAAAATCTCTCCTAGCAATTATCAAGAATATAATGCAATGTTATTAACTATGGTCACTGGGTTGTACAATAGATATCTTGATATTTGGCTTCAGTTTCCAGTTTCTTCTGCCAGAGATCATATGCCTATTTCAGGGTAAATATGAGAATTTAATGAGGCAATATGTTAAGCACTTATAAGGCTTGATATATTAGAGACATAATAAAAAGTGTATCTATTTTTTGAAAAATTAACCAATTTTGAAAGTGCCATTGTGCCATATCAGAAACCAAGGGGATTTTTAATGCCCTAAATCAGTATTGAATCAGAGCCAGTTATAAGGACAGAAGAATTATAAGGAAACAGTATATTTTATGAAGATTTAAGTGCTTTTGTAGGTAAAGACCTGTGCTGGAATTATAGTGAATCCTATGGACTCCCAGAAAGGAAAGTCTATGAAACATACAAATGACCGATTCAGACATGAGCATTGCTGTTGTTTGGAGAGAGAGGAGATGATGATGGCTGGGCTGTTGAGGTAATGCTTCATTTTTGAGGCAGAGAATACCAAGATGGTAAGCAATGGTCTGCCAGACAAGAAATAATAGGAATGATCTTTGGGCATCGTAAGAAGTAGTTTAGCAAAGGAGGGTGTTCATGTTGAAGTGCATCAACCATCACCATGGTCTTGAATTTTCAAGCATACAAAGCCATGAGAAAACTAATTTCTGCCATTTAAACAACTCATTGATGATATTTTATTATGGAGGCCTGAGCAGATTAATACAGTGAATTCTCAGGTGATATTCGTTTTTCTGGTCTAGTGATACTCTTTGAAAACCACTGCTATGAGCAATGGAAACCTTGAAAGTCCCTACAGCCTATTTTATTTTCTATTCACTTTCAATTTTCATAGTCTTTTAAAAAAACTGGATCTTATTTCAAGTGCTAGGGAAAGTCAGCCAGGGACAATAGAAAATGAAGAGCAGTAGGAGCCATTCATGAATCTTATCATCTTGTGTTCACTCTGGTAAAGTGAATTCCCCCTCTTGAAGCTCTATTCACAGATTTCAGTTAATTAGTCTTGTGCCCTAGGGTGGGAATTGTGGGAGAGAGAATTGCTGACCAGGAAAATCTTCAGCTTTATTTTCTTGTTTCTACTATTAAACTCCAAAGTAAACTTCCACTCGTTGAATTTTACTCTGCTGGTTTAAGAACGTAATAAGATCCACTTACATTTTAGGCATCAGAGCAATTAAGGGGGAGGACAGAGAGTTTATCTTTAGGGATTCTGATCTAAAAACTTACCTCCTTACTCTTCCATCCTTATCTCTCTCAGTCACCAAGAAGTCTCACATATTTATTATTTTCCATCACAAAACATATAAAAGTTTGTTTTCCAACAATAAGTTAGTTACATTTTCTAATTTGAGATAAAGACACTTTACTTCAACTTCCCAATGTTGGTTTCAGGGGAAGGGCTACTAAACTGAAATTGAGTGAATTTTTAATCTGTGCAGTAAAAACATACTAGTTTCTTTGTGCTTCCAGACATTTGTAGATTATTATTGTACTTATCATTGTACTTTGAAAATAAGGTTATCATACACATCTTGTCCTTTTGGATACCCTAAATGTAACAGTTATTTCACATAGGAACAGTACTTAATACATGTTTGCTGATATAAGTAAATGAATACTATATATTCATCCAGCCTTGAGGTGGTCGTTTTCATGCAGGTGTGCACATCAGCGTTTTCTGGTTGCTTCTCAAAATGCTTATTCCCTTGCCCACATCCCAGGCTTTGATGAGAGTTGGTTCCTTTGTAGAGTTTCTTTGTTGTTGTTGTTGTTGTGTTGTAATGTTATGCCCTTGAAAGGCAGAATGACAGGCAGGGGAAAAGCAGAGAGGGAAAGAGGTCTTTGAATTGCTGGTTTACTCCCCAAATGGTTGCAATAGCAGGCGCTTGGGCCAGGCTGAAGCCAGGAGTCCAGAACTCTACCCTAGTATCCCAAACACAAGGTCCATCTTCTGCTGCTTTCCCAGGTTCATTAGCAGTGATCTGGGGTAGAAGTGGAGTAGCTGGGACTTGGAACAAAGCTCTGATATGGGATGCCAGCATCACAGGTGTTACCCTAAACCACTGTGCCAAAATGCTGGACTGTGGTTTGTTTTTAACACACACTTGCAGGCAACGTTCTGTGATCCACACATTTAGAAACAATATTTTAAATTTATGGCATGAATATTTCTCACAATTTAATTTAAGGTGTTAGGCCTTCCTAGGGGAGATAAAAAGGAATATTAGGATCTGTGTGGTCCATTAAAACACAGTGGTATATATAATTCCCTATTCTTCCAGCTAAAGAGAATTGGCATGATCCTTTTAATTCCTCTTGAACCAATCCCTAAATATTTTAAGTGAATTTCAGGCTACACTTCTGAGTCATTTTTCACACTCCCAATTTCTGTTTTCCAGTCTAATATGTAGAACAGCTGATGCAAGGAAAAGGAGTGGTCGATGGTCGACATAGCAAGTTCTCTACAATATTGTATTCTGTATATATTCTGTCAAAACAAGAAAGAACACAGTTTAATACAAATCTTTAATTTGCTGTTTTAAGGAGCTAATGCTTGCTGTAATTGGTTTTTTTCTCCTTCGTGGTAGCATTCAATTTTAAATATCCATTTACTCGTTCTTAACTAAGACTGAATTATATTGGAACTTCTGTAGTAGTCTTGTGACATCTGTTTGAATACAAAGTATATTCATTATAGTCATTGCAATTAAAATGAATATCAAATGAGTTTGTAATAGCTATGCACTTAAAATGTTACTCTTTATTTTAAGAGCCTTACCCTCAAGAGTTCATTTGAGTTTCTATAGTTTCTAATAATACTATGATAAAGAATAGATATGCATATGGACCTCATTTTTATTTTGATAAATGTTTGTTTTAACCATACCATTAGCTAGCAAATGTAGAATTGCTAATTATTGGATTCTTACAGCTTTTATGAGGATAGTTATGTATGGCTGACAATGTTATCTCTTTTATTGCCATAAAATATAAAAATGAAATTGATTTTAAAATAATGAGTTTGCCATTCTTTATGGTCGTATTATTACAATGTGACTATTAATTCAGTTGTCCTTAATCAGCTTTACAAAGGATATAGAAACAAGACTAGTAACTTATTTTATCTTATATAGAATAGCTAGTTTGGAGTGAGGTATACCAATTTGGGAATGACCAAATTAGTTTTACCAAAATGAGAGAAGAGAAAACCATCAATGGCTATCCAAAGGGGTCTATTTAAGTAAATTCATAGTCAATAATCCTAATGCTTTTAGATCAATCATGTATCTATATCTGGACAAGACCTGTTAACCTACTTGAAAATGCTTACTCATATAACTTTAGGTAAGTTGTTGCCATATATTTTACAAATCACATACTTTCTTATTAAGGATCTTCTATTGAAGTAACTATTCCCTACATATATAGATTTTTTAATTGCATACACATTCAGTTGTCATATTTCTACTTTTTTATGGTATTTAGTGCTGTTTTGTTGGTTTCCAGTGTTTCACTTCTTTTAATTTGTCAATGTATTCTAGTTCTCATAAGTCACGTCTTTAGTGCTTCTTTTGCTGAAAGAAACAATATAAATTATCCATCCTTTTGGGTAGTTTACCACTAGATTTTGTATCTATTGAAAAGAAGTTATGCTCACAATTTTTCCTGTAAAGTAAACTATATAAAATTCAATATACTTTGATGATACTACAATGTGATTTAATGGTGTCCAAAAGGCAAGAAAACATGACTCTAGTGTTGTAACTTATAACCTATTTTAGCAAAAACTTGTGAACTTTGGTGTAGTTCTCAAGAAAATGAATTTTCCATGGTTGTACTGTGTATTATGAAAAACTATGATGTTTAATCCTTGAGATAACATAGATAAAAATATGATCCTATGGCAAGTAAGGATACTATTTCCATAAATGAAGTTTATTGTTACTAGTCAGTGTATTAATCAGAAGATTACTTATCTACCTAATTAACTATAGTATTCAACATTGTATTAAT